TCTCTCTCTCTCTCTCTCTCTCTCTCTCTCTCTCTCTCTCTCTGACTATAGACACATTAATATCGCCGTGAGACAAGGAACCGAGTTACACAAGGGTGTGCCTCATCGATGGCAGCTTCCTTTGGGCTTTAGGTTTCTACGGTTAATCTTGAACTGAGCACCCTCGGAGAGGATGGGATCGTGTTGCGTTCATGTTGCCGCTCGTAAACCGTACGAGAGAAAACACTAAGAATATCACTTGCTATAAATACGGTTGCCACAGCAAAAACTTCATTGCTGCTGTCTGTTCATACGTGTTTGAGTGGCATTCAGTGGTATAATGACATAACTAAACGTGTCTCCCAACCATTTAGTATTTGACCATAGTTATGCAAGAATGATCCAACTCACTAAATTATGATTTTTGACTTTTTATTGCTAATGGATACATCCTCCTACATCTTTATAATTTTTCGGGCGCGATGGGGAAAGCCAGATCGTTACTTCGTCGGAACGAGTTTCGTAATTCCGGGCCACAGAACACCCCAGCTCGCCCCTTCTTGCAGAAGGGTGTACGTACGATTATAGGTGTACCACCCCCCTCTGCTGGCAAACTGCATGGCATTCAGCAATGAGTCATTCCCCCTATGGGTGACCCCCGAGCTGTGACGTCATTACCGAGCCCTCCTTCGTGCGCTGCCTGTGCCGGCGAAAGCATGTCATCCTCGACTTATTATGCAAGGGATAGAGAAGGCAATAGCGATGCTCCCTGAGGATTTCTTCGGCAATATCCCTGCGGTCGGGGAAAACCGTGCCGTGCAATTCTAAGCGAGACGCCAGTGCCCTCCCCCTCCCTCTTCTCCTCCCATCTATCCTCCTCTCGTCCTTATCGCGGATATTATTTTTCTAAGAAGTGCTCCCCCAAATGTCGCCGCGATTTTATGTACTTCTACCATATATAGGGCTGTACTTTGAAGTAGGTCGCATGATTTCGCAGACACACACCACTTCTGAATTGATTTCAGAAACGAGTAATTGTATAAAATTGAAACGGGTGATCGCGGAAAGTGCTCTTCGAAATAATGCAGAGAGAGAAAGTGTGTCTTTTCTCGGGATTCACATGATTCTCTCCGACGAGTTTTCAATTCGAGATTCATTAGTCGGGACGATTCGGCGCTGGAAATAAATAAATTGTAGAATGCGGCACACGAGTGTGCCGCAATCTCCGTTAAGAAAATATTCGTTGAGATATCATTCGCGAACTCACCGAGCAAACTCTTCTGGGGAACTCTGAACTTCACTCTGTAAGGAACGGACGAACGCCGATGTCCTCGATCGCGCTCGCGGCTCCGAGACTTTTTCTCTCTCTCTTCATAGTAATAAAAATGGATAGAACGGCTTTCCGTTCGTGCTTCATAAAATGCTTCACGCTATGATCGCGATCGAGGCGGAATTGCGAGTTGTTGTAGAAAAGGTCACGCGTTTTTAGGACGATTCGTGGTTGGTGCGCTGCCCAGCTCGTAAGCGCTGAAGGACGCATATTTACGGAGGAACCGTATATGTTGAAAAAGGGGTGGCGTTGCATTGTGACGGCAAAAGGGCGTCTGGTTATGAACGTGGAAAAATGTCAGCCGCATCCCTGAACCGGCGGCGGCACGCCCGTACTACTGTTTATTAATATTAATGAGGAATATATTATAGGTGGTTTATTAATATGATTTAGTTAATTAAGTATGAGTTTATAATAATAATAGGAATGATTAATTTGTTGATATTGACGTACGCGGTAATAATATATTCCACGGATGATATGGATATTCGAACTGTCATGTATTTCCTTAACGTAGACATTATCACAGACGTACACGGGATCCATACTGGTGGCTGTGAACCCTTACAAGGAAGTGGACTACTATACGAATGTGAGTAAAACTAATTAAATTACGCTTCTTTTTTCTATAAGAACTCACGGCGTTGCATCAAAAAAAAGAATATATATTAGATGTACAAATGAATAATCTAAGTTTTCTTAAACAGTTAAAAAGTAATTTTTAAATCAATTAATTCTCTCTTTTTCTGTTTCTTTTGTTATGTAACATTGGCATGAGAGGTACGATCCATTAAGCGTTGCAAACGCTTTGAAACGCCTCAAAAAAAGCTACATTTGGTTCATTATTATGAGCTGTTGGAGCCGGATGCAACAGCTATCAATTCCAATTAATCCGTGTAAAGAAGTCTTATAGTGGTATTTTTTTTAAGTAACTTCGAGGATCACCTTTGCTTTTTGCTTTGAAAATATTCCAGCTGGCAATAGTTAATAACTCATTCTCCATATAACTTTGAGAGGAGATTCTTCTGATACCAAATGGAAAATGTTCTAACATCCAACAAAAGAAATTCTAGTTTCAAATTATAATCCTATATTGTAAGTTAAAAACTTGTACCGAAAGAATATTGTTTATTCTTGTAATGAAGAGGAATAGTATTGTGGTTAGAATATTTTCTTCTAGTTTGCGAACCTTAGGATATATTTTTATTTTAATTTTATGGTCTCCCGAGAGACTACTACATATAAGAAGATTCCGAGGATGAGATTATATTTTATCGGGTGTGTAGGAATCGCGTGCGGCGCGAAGTCGCAAAGTGTAATTCGCAGAAAATTCGACAAATCTTGTCGCTCGAGTAATGCGGTCAAGTTGTCGTGTCATTCTCGGTCTTGCCCTCATCTTATGCAATCTTTGCGCTGCAGTTGCGCGCAGGAAGCGAAGCAAGAAAATAGCATATTGTCATGCAAAGTTAATCCGTCGACGATGAAATGGCTGGAGATATTGCGGCGCGATGACGTAGCGCGTTGCCGTTCGCGTAATTTTGACGAATTTGACGTCGGTGCCGAATAATACAAAACACGCGAATGAGGGCCGCGTTTTTCGATTCTGAGCGAGGCCCGGATGAGTAGTGCATCGAGTGTTATCGGCACGGGACGTGATCGATCGAGCGTGTAGCACAGATGCGTGTGGATCGTTCGCGCGGCCGAAGTGTCATGCGTTTCCTGCCGGTGACAAAAACCGGAAGCACCGGCGAGGAATAGTAAATATCAAGCACAATGCGCGACGCCGCTGGAAAAGGGGGAAAAAGACCGCACGCACTGCACGCGTCAATCTCCCGCCGGAGATAAACCACCGCCACCTTCGTCACCGCCGCCGCCGTTGAAAGATTAAAACTGCTGCCTCGGATCTCTCCTCCCGACGGTTCTCCTGTCCGACGCACTTTTCACATCGTAGCGGCTGTTGCCGCAATGCCGCACCGCGTAGTGCATTACGAAAACGAGAAGCAGCTGTGTGACCTGTTTAGTGAGTCCCCGAGCGAGTCGACATTGTGGCAGTAACACACACATACATATTAATATTGGCCACTGTGTCCATTTTTATTCACTGCACAAGAGCTTGGCCGACCATTGAATCGCCAGGGATATGGCAAATTAATACAATTCGCCGTGCACATGTAACTTTTGCCTGTTTTCATTGGCTCACCAGAGGTCGCACTATCGATTCGTTAAATGCAATTAACTGTTGATATTCCCAGAAGATGCGGTAATATCATGGCGTGATAGTATATTCAACTTGATCTTTTGATCTGAAATTAAGGCTCCTGGCCTCTCGCATTGTCTATCTCTTTTTTAATGTCGTCAGAAGCGAGAAAATGTATGTTAAAAATTCTTGCGAAATACGTTAAAATAAAAATATATATCCATAAAGTAACACAATCGTTTAAACGAATTTGTAAGATATTTCGTACACTTTCCTTTTGCTCTAACAATCAATAATTTGTCGTGAATTAACGTGACATACAATTCATCTTTTTAACCTATTTCTTCGCCTACTTCTATTCAGATTTAAAATAAATTTACAATAAATTATTGATTGTTAGAGCAAAAGGGAAGTGCACGGAATATCTTATAAATTTGTTCAATCAATTGCAAGTGTTACTTTATGGATATATATTTTTATTTAAATGTATTTTACAAGAATTTTTAGCATGCATTTTCTCACTTCTGACGTCATTAAAAAAGAGATAGACAATGCGAGGGGCCAGGAGCCTTAATATCAATACTGATTTCAGATCATTCTCCTGTTAAGGCCAGAATAATTACCGTTTAGCATGATTCTTTTGCAGAACGAAATTTAGATGAACACAGTAACGTTAATGTTCATCACAAAAACTTAACTTTATTTGTATCAAGATAACATTAGTAGACATACACAACAAAAATTTCACACTCCTTGCTCCCATAATTTACAACTTGTTTTACAACTCTTCAAATAATTTTTCTTCCTGTCTTGTAATCCCTTGACATCGCGACGCAATTTTCACGACGAGCAGTTTGTCCTTCTCGAGGAAAAATTCTCTGGAAAAATTGGCGAGAGATCGCGAGAGATCGCAGCGCGCAAAGTCGCGCGAAATATTCCACGCTGAATGCGTGCCACACACGCCGAAAACCGCGATATCATCGCCTCTGTTTGTGTCTCGTGTGTGTGTGTGTGTCTGCGTGTGTTATCGTGACCGGATGCGAGTGCGAATGTGGAGGAAGCGCGCACACGCTCGTATGTGCAATCTGCGTTACGTTCGCGCGGTCGGCGAACGCTTCCTTGCGCGCTTCCTAGCCAGAGACCGATAACGACGCAATTCTCCGCGAATGGCGTGCGCACGTACAATTTGCGTAAACGCTCGCGTGCGATTATCGCGGTCGACGAGTCCTTCCGCGGATTCGCGAGATCCGCCGTGTATAACCGCGACTTTTATCGTATTAGTTCGCAGGAAACGGAAGCGGCGCGCGCGCGACGTGCTTAAATCGCGGCGCGATATCGCGAAACAACGGGACGAGACTCCTCGGCTATTGTTTTTTTTTTTTTTTTTTTTTTTTTTTTTTTCTTTCTAGGTCGCGCGCGTCGACGACGCGAAACTCCGGAGAGAGGCTGTGACAGATACCACGCTTGACTCGGCGCATTCGCTCAGCCACGTGGCCGTGGCGGCCGATAAACGCTGCCAATCGACTGACTACCCTCGAAACGGCGCGCTCATTAGCGCGGAATTGATTTACCCGTTCTCGCGGAACCGCGTCCGACTTTTCGTTATCGCCGCGGTGTCTTCGTCGTCGTTGACGAGCCACGCGACCCACGGGGGCTACGATCGAAAACGAGGGGGAATGTTCCGTTTCAGGGGGTTTATCGGCTCGATAAATTCCACGCGTTTATCTGACGACCGGGAGAGCGCAGGGTGCTAAGTGCAGGTTCTCTCGATAATCGAGCAGTGCACTTTCTCTCTGCCCCTCGCCGCCACCCCTCTCGTCGCGCGTCTATTTTCGGGTGCACGTGAACGAGCGGGTGTGTGTGTGTGTGTGTGTGTATGCTGGCTCGTTTCCTTCCTTCTTTTCTCTCTTCGTTCGCTCGCGTGCCGCACACCCATCGTCGTCGTCGTCGTCGCCGACGGTTGAACCGCGGAGAGAATCCCGGAACGCCGCCCGCCGTGATCGGGCTGCAGGACCGAATTATTTCTGGTATCGAGTACCAGGCGCGCCGGAACAGACGGAACGAGGGGGAAGGAGAACACGCCCTGCCGCGAGAGATGAGCTCTCGAATTTCGTCAGATATATTGATACTTGATCCTTCGGGAACGTTTGACAATATATATATACAGGACATTGAGAGGGAAAGGTCTAGCAGAGACCTTGGGTGACTTTCAGAAGAGGAGGATCCTTTTAACCTTTTATAGGACAAAACTTTTTTTAAAGTGACTCTGATACAAGTTATTTGCATAACATATCTGGATACAAGACAAATATGTGAGATCTAAGAAACTTTATAATATTTATTACGATTATTGCTTGGCGAAAAATCGACCACTGAATGTTCAGTGTAAAACAACAGACATTTTGAACTTTGCGTGAGGTGCGTTAAAATATCGACCACAAACTTATGAAGGCGCCCTGGCAGCAGAACCGCGCCCTCGACACGAGTGGATCGTATTTTCCCAGTTCGGTTGCGGCGCGACGCAGAAGCGACACGTCGCCGCTTCCCCGGCGATTATCCTCTCGAAATCACGAGAGTGATCGCGGAACTCTCCTCCGTCCCTCACGTCGCGACGTACTCGCAGTAGTGACCGGACGATGTCGGCACGCGAGCGCAGGGGAGACAGAGCATTCGTTATCGCACGAGCGCGTGACAATGGCATGCGCTCGTGTTACTTTTTTTCTCTCGCACGAACACACTCGCGCGGGTAGGAGGGTTTCTCGTCGCACCATGAGTTTCGCGCGTGATCGCGAAGGTCAGCCGGGGTACCGAGGACCCCTACACCTAGGCCAGGAGATGGGAAAGGGTGGCACGCCGTGGCGGTGCACGCCCCGCGTTATTGATCGCGCGCACGAGGCGCGCGCGGGATCGGATTCGGCGGGACTCGCCGTGCCCGGTCGCCTCCTGGCGCAGCCACGGCAGCGCGCCTTTCTCCCGTGGCGATACCTTCCGCAAGCTGCGATCGCAATCGCCTGGCTGCGAATCGCCGAATCGCGGTCGATGGGATCAGTTGACGGCGAAGAGGTCGCGACGCTGCTCAGCCTGACGGATTTCCGAAAGTCGACGGAAAATCGTTTTTTAGTCGGTGGAAGAAAAATGCGACACTTTTTCTTGTAATAGATAATGAAGACAACAAGCGCGCTACATTTGCATCCGACGCCCAAAGAAATATTATCTTATCTTTAGCAAAATTCTTTTAAATATACACTGAGAAAAAAAATTTACTAAATTTCAAAAAAGAAAAAAGAGAGATTCCTCTAAGATAAAAAAACATTCTAATACGCACAGAAAAGTGCATACTGCATTCAAGTAAATATTTCAAGCATCTTATAAGTTTGTATCTGCAAATCATAAGT